TCAACCTCATGTTCGTTTCGCCGGTACCCCTCCCCCCTTTCCTGTCGTCAGAGAGGGCGTAACATGCAGCACACCTAAATCCAAAACATCGGCCAATGAGGGCCATTGCCTATCCTTGCCGTACAGCCGCCGCGGAGCTCAACGCCCGTACCCGCCGTACTACGACGTGCATCTTCTCAATGAGCTCCGGCATCCGATATGGCTTGACCAGCACGTCGTCGCAGCCTGCCTCGCGCGCCTGCTGCATCTGTTCCGGCCGCGCATTGGCGCTGACCGCGATGATGGGAATCCGGCCCCCGTCATCGCCGCAAAACAACTTGCCTTCCTTTTCCATCGCACGAATATGTCGCGTGCACGTCAGTCCGTCCTGAATGGGCATCTCAATGTCCATCAGGATGAGGTTGATGACCAGGGGCACGCTTCCTGCCTCTGCCGTCGTTGTCGTCTTGACCGCAACTTCACCGTCGCCCGCCTCTTCTCGCCTCTCCTGCACCCTCCTCTGCGCAACTGACTCTGCTAGTTTCTCGAGCGCCTCGAGCCCGTGGTTGGCAACGTCCACTCTGAACCCCCGGTCGTGTAGCCCGCGCCGTGTGATCTGCTGGTTGATTAGGTTGTCCTCCACAACCAAGATTCCGTCAAGCCGACGGTCGCGTTGATTGCCCACCTGTCGCTTGGGCCGTTGGGTTACAGACGGCGTCCGCCCTTTCGTCGCCCCATGTCCCGCTGCAGACTGTCCGGGGCTCGGTGTGCCGAAGATCAGAGGACTGGTCCTCGCGGCGTCCGTCGCGAACTCGGCCTCCTGCCTAGCCTCTTCCGTTGGGACGTATGCCTCTATGTAAAAGGCAAATGTTGATCCTACACCCGGCAAGCTCGACACACCGATAGCGCCCCTTTGCAGCTCTGTCAGCCGGCGCGAGATGAAGAGCCCGAGGCCTGAGCCTCCGTACTTGACGTGCGTCCGCGAGCTGGCCTGCACGAATCTGTTGAAAAGATTGGCCTTTTCTGCCGCTGACAAGCCCTGGCCCGTATCCTTGACCTCGAAGATCAAGTAAACCGGATTATCTCGCCCTTCCAATGCCGGCTGCTCGTACTCGGAATCCTCTTCGCACGAGCGAGGTATGAAGGTCACCGGAGACGTCTCGTTGGTGG